TGTCCTGTACATGCTGTGTGATGGCACTCAGAATGATCTGCTCGATAACCTTCCCCAGCACCAAGGTCAGACTGACAGGCCTGTCGTTCCCCAGATCCTCCTTCCAACCCTTCATGTAGATGGGCACCACATTTGTTATCCCCCAGTTAACAGGGACATCCCTGGTTATCCAGGACTGCTGATAAATGATGGAAAGTTGCTTGGTGGCACTTCCACCAGTTCCCTCAGTATCCCTTGGTGGAGCCCATCTGGCACAATAGACTTGTGTGTGTCTAAATGGTGTAGCAGGTCACTAACCATTTCCCCTTGAATTATGAGGGCTTCATTCTGCTCCCTGTCCCCATCTTCCAGCTCAGGGGGCTGGATACCCAGAGAACACCTGGTCTTACCATGAAAGACTGAGGCAAAGGCGGCATTAAGTACCTCAGCCTTTTCCTAATCCTTTGTCACTGTTTCCCTCTGCATCCAGTGAAGGATGGAGATTCTCTTTAGTCCTCCTTTTGTTGCTAAAGTATTTATAGAAACCTTTTTTATTGTCTTTTACAGCAGTAGCCAGATTAAGTTCTAGTTGGGCTTTGGCCCTTCTAATTTTCTCTCTCCATAACCTCACAACATCCTTGCAGTCCTCCCAAGTTGCCTGCCCCGTCTTCCAAAGGTCATAAACTCTCTTTTTTCTCCCTGAGCTCCAGCCAAAGCTCTCTGCTCAGCCAAGCTAGTCTTCTTCCCAGCCAGCTTGTCTTTCGGCACATGGGGATGGCCTGCTCCTGTGCCTTTAAGATTTCCTTCTTGAAGAATGTCCAGCCTTCCTGGACTCCTTTGCTCTTCAGGATTGCCTCCCAAGGGACTCAGTCATCCGGGTCCCTAAACAGGCCAAAGTCTGCCCTCTGGAAGTCCAAGATAGCAGTTCTGCTGACCCCCTTGCTTACTTCTCTGAGAATCAAAAACTCTATCATCTCATGATTGCTGTGCCCAAGACGGCCTCCAACCATCACATGACCCACAAGTCCTCCTCTGTTTGCAAACAACAGGTCCAGCAGGGCACTTTCCCTAGTTGGCTCCCTCACCAGCTGTGTCAGGAAGCTATCTTCCATACACTCCAGGAACCTCCTAGACTGTTTCCTCTCCACTGTATTGTATTTCCAGCAGACATCTGGTAAGTTGAAGTCCCCCACAAGGACAAGGGCTAGCAATTGTGAGACTTCTCCCAGCTGCTTATAGAATATTTCATCTGTCTCTTCATCCTGGTTGGGCGGTCTGTAACTGACTCCCACCATGATATCTGCCTTGTTGGCCTTCCCTCTGATTCTCACCCATAAATACTCAACCCTTTCATCCCATCGTCAAGCTCTAGACAGTCAAAACTCCCTAATATACAGGGCCAGCCCACCACCTCTCCTTCCTTGCCTATCCCTTCTGAAGAGTTCATAGCCATCCTTTGCAGCACTCTGGTTGTGTGAGTCATCCTACTGTGTTTACATGATTGCAACTCTGTCATAGTTTTCCACCTGCAGAATGGCTTCCAACTCCTCCTGTTTGTTGCCCATACTGCATGCATTGGTGTAGATGTGCTTCACTTGCACTATAGGTCCCACCGCCTTTTGGGGGGAGAAGCCCTAATTCCTATGTGAGTGTTCTGAGGTGCTCCCATGATTTCTAACACATCAATAACCCATGTGTGTTTGCTGCCTCGTGGATCTCCATCACTTACCTCCACTGACATGGCAGACCAAAGGACCTCAGTAGCACACTGTTCCTCAAACATTGACATACCGCTCCCAGGCTTATCTCTAGTGAGCCTGGTTTTATCCCTTTCCCCTTCAAATCTAGTTTAAAGCTCTTTCAAGGAGCCCTGCTAACTCCTGCGCAAAGATCTTTTTCCCTTTTTGAGACAGGTGTACCCTGTCTGTTGCCAGCAGGCCTGCTGGTGTGTAGACCAGCCCATGATCAAAAAACCCCAAATTCTGCCAGTGACACCAGATAAGAGCCACGTATTAATCTGCTGGCTCTTTCTGTTTCTTCCCTCATCATTCCCTGCAGCTGGAAGGGTAGAAGAGACCTCTACTTGTGCTCCTGATTCCTTAAACAGTCATCCCAAGGCCCTGAAGTCTCTCTTGATTACACTCAACTTCTTGACTTCTGCTGCCTACATGAAAAATCAACAACATACAATAATCTGAGGGCTGTACCAGGATAGGAAGTCTTCTCTTCACATCTTAAACCTGGGCCCCAGAGAGGCAGCAGACTTCCCTAAGAAGTGGGTCCAGTCAGCAAATTGGGCCTTCTGTTCCTCTCAGGAGACAGTCTTCTTTTCAAAATAACCCATCTTTTTTGATTTATGGAAGTGATTTTGACACAGGGCATAGGCTGAGTTAACTGTGGTGATGCCTCTAAGCTAGCTGAACCATCATCCTTGTCATTGTTTGGTTCTACTTGCAAAGCCTTGTACCCATTATGCAAGGGCACCTGGGAAGGTGGGGTGCACAGAGCAGATGCGCCTGCTGCGCTGGGCAGGAGCCTGCCTGACCAAAAGTCCATCATTGGCTTAGCTGGAGATACCTCTTGCATATCACCTCAACACCAGAACTTCTTGACAGTTCTTTCTACACTCGTGATGTTTTCTGATCTGGTAAGTGTGCAGCACACATCAGGGTGAATGTAAAGCACTGAATATGTGCTGAGCTGTTCTACTAAGCTTTTTCATCTGTCAGACATTGCTTGAAGCAAAGATGAACATTACTGTAGGCAGTGCAAAAGAAGTCACCAGCAGAAGAGCATGTACAAACCCAAATGTCATCCTCTTACTGTTCCAGGCAATGGTTTCTTGAAATCTCCCAGAAACTGCTGCTCTGAAATCAACAAGCTCATGGCATGACAACAGACTATAGAAAAAGCACTTGTACTGACCTGCAGCAGAGATAAAGTGCTTCTGAACATGAATATGGATGGACATATTACCACCATCTGCATAGTTTCCCATCTCCTTGTCCACTGTCCCAAGCAGACAGAGCAATATTTTCCTTTCAGTTGAGAGAATATTTATATTTTATTTCTAAGCTCAGAACTTTATGTAAATTCTACTTCAACTTCCAAGTTTTTTGCAGTTACAGTACAGATGACATTCTGGAAGCTGGTTCTACACACTGCCCCTTTCTCTGCTGATCTAGCCTTGGTCTGAAACCAAATACAGTGAACACTTTTCTCAGGTTATCATTTGGTCCTAGATAGAGTCCTTGTAGATGAAGGCTGATATAGATTATGCCTGCAAAGTATGAAAATTCCACAGAAGTACAAACCGTTCTTGCAAATGTTGTTTCATCCCAATTCTGTAGCTTCTCAATGGCTTCATTCATCATTTCTTCCTTATGACGGTTGTATTTCTCATTCTCAACCACTTCTGTTCTGCTTGTCACAAGGACGCACTTGCTGTCTTTTGCCCTTCCACGACCTATACAGAAACACATTTATTCTCTTTAGTTACTCTTAAGAAGTTGCAACAGCTATGCCATAGAAGAACTTTAAGGCCTTCCTGTGTGCCTCCTTTTGTTTCCCATGTTCAGATTCAGATATTGCTGCTTCTAAACAGCGTTCTCTCAGCTCTTTCTTCTTTGATGACAAACCAGAACAAGATGTCCCCTTCCAGCTATCCTCACGGATATCTCCAGTGCTGTATTGCCTACTTCTGTGGCATGCCTCAGTTAAGCTCAAGCACGCTCGACACTTCAGTTATTGTACAGCATCTTGCTGCCTTTTTGTGGAAACAAAAGCTAGAGGAGAAAAGTTCATCTTAGTCTTACTTTCTGCCCTACTAACTGGTGTCCATGAAAAAAAAAAAATCACAAAAAAACCTGGGGAACTGGAAAGTGCTGGCAAGAAAAGAGACAACAAGAGCAAGTGCCATCTCTTCCACCTGTCTATGCCTACTGCCTGCCTGCATTTTGCTGCTGTGACACAGGCAAACTAAGAACTACAGAGATTTCGTACCAGTTTAGAAGTATTTCAGTTAGAAAAAATGTTCACATTTGTTTTTGAGCTCCCATTCCCCCAAGATCATGATTTTATGTGGTTTAAAACTGACACGACCTATTTTCTTTGCATCTTTAATGGCTTGTTAAGAATAAACACTACCCTTTCACCCATAAACGTGAATTGTGGACCAATTATTTCATTATAAGACAAAAATAAGAAAATCACAGGACACAAACCCTGAAAGCAAAGGACTAAGTACAATGGAGATCAATTCCCATCAAATTATGAAGTTAACTACTCGGGTGATATGACAAAATATTGCAGATGCACCCTTGAAAGATGTAAGCAGTTTTATGACATTTAGGAATGTTAAAGAAAACCCGGTATTTGGCGTGGCTCTTCATTCCCCTCTACTGGCCGTATGGTGAAATCGCCAAGATTCAAGACCGAAGTCTTGACAGACTTTTTTAGACAAACCAAGACAAAACCAGTTTTTGTTTGGCTGTTTTGGTTTTTGTCTTGAATGATAGAGACCTGCACATGTGAAGGCCTCGGGGAACCCATGAGTAGCTGGGTTGGGAATAAGCCACTGGGCGTGGGAAGGTCTTCAAAAGCCAAGGCAATACGTGAAACTCCATTGCAGCAGTCCTTTGTAAATTGCTACAGTCAGAAAGATTTGTGCTATTTCTGACTACAGCTCTTCCAGCCATACTTCTGCTTACATGTATAATTATCCACTTGAGGAATCAGTAATCAACAGTTCAATAACCCTGTGCAGCATGGCTAATTTGCATGGCAAAAGAAAAGACACACAACATCGAGGACTCAGTTCTGTGAAGGAATTTGTCACGTCCAATACCATCATTCATCTCACTTCACTCAGGGGCACAGAGGAACAACAGCAAGACATGCACATATTACTACAGTATTTCCAAAGTGCCAATCAGTAGTAGTTTATGTCCATTTCTGGGGCAAAACACGTTTCTAAAGTAATAGCTAAAATTCCATACCTCTGACTTGGATCATTTTGGTGACATTACCGAAGTATTCATAGAGCACAACAAGGTTGCATTCAGAAATATCAATGCCTTCATCGGCAACAGATGTAGCAATTAGCAGTCTGCTGTCTTTGTTGGTTTTGAATGCATCCAGTACCCCCTTCTGCATTGGGAGGGTCATACCTACAGTACCAAGAAACTGTGTCAGGAAGAGAACACACTGAAGAGTTCCTTGAGCAAGATCCCCACATTTGCTCTTACTTAAGCAATTACAAAGGAGCATGTCCTTTTGATCTAGAAGAGTACTTTAAGTTTGCATATCCAGCTGGTTGCATACTTTACCCACTGAGCAGGAATTCCTGTTGATGTGCCACAAGAATTGTCATCCTGGGAAACACCATTTCCAACACAACACCTAGCTGATCTTTATTAGAGAGACCCATACAGCCTAGTTATTTTAAGCCCAAGCTAAGTTTTAGCTTAAGCCACATATAATTCATTTCAGCTGTACCTTCCATTCTACCTTAAAATGTCTTTGTGCGACCAAACACAAAATAAGAGGGGGATCTGTAAAAGGAATGGAAAAATACTGCTAGAAGTAATCACAAGAAGCCGTGATAGCGAACAGTTTCTAAACTTCTTCAGAACTAGCAAAAGAATCCTGCTGCAAAGGGTCACTGGCAGTGTTACTGCTGCTTTAACCAAAGATTCTGGACAGAAATGGCAAGCGTCTTCTTAGGATTGGTTAAAAGTCTTCTAGATGTGGAAGAAAGCATAGCACAAACTTGCATGGCGTTCCTCTGTTTAAAAGCACAGACATGAACAAAGGAAGAGTAGAACATTTTTAGCAGTGTAGCCGCCATAGGTCTAGCAACTGGTATTCCTCAGTGCAAACCTGCGTACTTGTTTTTTGATCTCTTCTTCCACGACCCATCAACACATCTGGCTTTATGTGGCTAAGTAGAGGGTTTGCTTCTACCCACTTCTTCAGGGCCTGGAAAGCAAATCAGGGAGTTAGATCCCTGTCCAGATTAAATGCTAGTTTGGAATAGGTAGGTGGATCCTGCCCATGCTTGCCTAGACAATCAATACTTCCAAGAACAAAAGCAGAAAAAAAAGGTGGAAGTCTGTGTCAGGAGGGAACATCTGTTAACAGGTGAGAAAGCAAGAGTCACAGCCATGATGCTAGACCCAACCATCCCACAACTGATTTCCGCTTTTCCCACCCCTGCAACTTAAAGGCTGGCTAGAGAGCAAGCAGCCTTTCACTTCTAAAAAGTATGTCTTTTTCTCTTGTAAACCAACAGATCACTGAATACTGCACCTCTGGGATCTAAAGAAAATGAGTTGCTATTTAAAAACTGCACTTTATCACTGCACAGTGAAAGTAGCACCTTAAAGCTGCTCTTACCTAAGAACAAAATTCAGTCAAGCTACAGTAGTCTTTTACATCTATAATGGAAAATTGCCAGTAGATGCTTTGTGTTGTTAGTTTGGACTTCAGCCTGCCTTTAATTTTTTTCTGGTTTGCAATTCATCCAGCATGTCTATACCCAAGGATAAAATGGGGGTTGGGACTCTCAGCCAATAAATCTGTTTACAGTAGCCAGAGACTATGTTACCTCGCAGTAAATGTTTAAGAGCTACTGAAGCTAATGATTAGCAGCACTCTTACGTCAAGCATGAACTTTTTCTGGGAACAAGGTATTGGAAGGGAGAGAAAAGATCATCCAGCCTACATCCTTGATCCTAGGCAAGTATGAAATAGACTAGTGCATCAGAAGTGTCCAGAGAACCTCTGCTCCACAAAGTCTTTCCATTTTCTCGATCAAGAACACATGCTAGGGCATAGACCTCCTTTGGGCCCATAGGAATCCTCCAGGAAACCTCTAAATACCTCCTGATGTGCAGTCAGTAATAGAGCAGAGTTGCTGGTTTATAACACTGTCACATTAAAGCCCAAAACCTTGTAACATGTCTTGTTAAAACTGACTTCAGACCTAAAGTAAAAATCTGATGTCTTAATGATCAGCTATGATACGTAGCAAGAAGAGGTGATGAAGGACAACATCCCTGTACTGTAGTTTTTAGAAAAAAGAAAAGAAAACCAAACTCATCCTATCTCAGAGCATCAGTGCTTAGGAAGACATAGAAAGTTAAGTATTTTCTTAGGAAGATCAAATACATGCATATTTTTCTATTTCCAGATCAAAATGGGAAGGGTAATAGATAAGGCATTATATTTTCTCACTTCCCATTTTAGGACCTTTAAAAAGAAACACCTTACAGCTACTAAGGCTCTTGTCTTAGCAAAGAGAAGGGTGCGAGTCTGTGGGTTATAGCGGTATGCTTCATCCAGGATGCAAGCAAGCTCTTCCAGCTTGGGATTCTCATTTGATTCATCTTTTGAAAGGGCAGTCAGTTCTGGTTCTTTCTCTGGAAGAAAACAGCAGTGTCTTGCATAATTTACCTTCCTTCATGCAGTTCTCACCCAAACCTACTTTCAAATGCCACCAACATTCTCTTTAGCATCTATTTTTATTTTCTATACCATTCATTCAGATGCAAGCTAAGTAAGCTATTGGTTAAATGAAACAAAATCCCCAGGAAAAAAAAAAAATCTGAATCTCTCACATTTTGTAGCAAACTGACAGGACAACTTCTGTGACATACTATGCATCAGAAGACAGCAGCAAAACAAACTCAGTTCTTGCAAAAGTGGTGCTATTTCTTAAGAAACAACTGACGCTAGAGGGCAGACAGCCCGGTGATTTAAAATTGCAGTCAACACTGCAACACACCAGATCACAGGCTGGTTTGCAGCACGCTGCTACTAAATCAGAAATTAGACAACAGTGCAACATCTAACTTTAAATCAGAAGCATACATGGGCCACTTGCTTCTTCCCAGAAGTTTGGGGTTCGTCCACGAGCAGTGGGCAGTGGGCAGGAGTAGGCTAGGCAGTGCACTCAGCAGTGTCTGTTCCTTATCTAATGCTGCCAGCAGCCATGACTGTAGACCATCCCCCTACTTGCGCTGCACACCCTTAGGGACACCGCTGCTTTATCTCCAAGTCAGGCATGTGGGAACCTACTACAGCATCTAGCTGCAATGACTACTACTTCCTTAGCTCCTGCACTGGAATCTTGAAGTCCCAGAAAGTACATTTCCCCCTACCTACCCTAACACTACATTTGCACCCACGTGGACACTAGATCTTCTGAAAAGCATAAAGTTTCTGGAAAAACAAATGCACTTATTCTGAAGAAAACACTTGGATCATCCATTCAAAACCCACCCGGATGCAGTCCTGAGTAATGTGCTCTGGGCAATCCTGCTTTAGCAGGGGAGTTGGACTGGATGATCTCGAGAGGTCCCTTCCAACTCTGAAAATTCTGTGATTCTGTGATCCTACCATAAGCCCTCCTCTCCCCTGCAACTGCCACAGGTACTGTGTGAAATACCTTGAAATTTGGCTGTCAGTTTCTTCTCTAACTCTGTATATGGTCCATTTTTGACATTTGTGAAAAATTCAATTAGGTAGGCTAAAGCATCTTCAATGCGGGCATCTTCACTGATGATGAGAGCATCGTTGAATTTCTGCTCAGAAAGAGAGACATACACATTTAAACCTCATTTTGAATGGGAAAAGGGATAATTGGAAATTTTATTTAGCTAGATGAAGTATTGCAAACTTGTGTTGTTCTTCCATTTGCATGACAACACAAGCATTATAAAGCATTACTCTGCACTATACTGTTCTTAGTGAGTATCTTAAGACACAACTCTTACACATTATGCTTTAGCCTGTGCCAAATAAAATTATTAGGTTCAAACACTGCTCCTAGGTGAGCATACCTGTATCAGAAGGAACAGGATGACTCCACCTCTGTATGGAAGGAAAGAGGATATGCGCTTACCCGCAGGTGTTCAGTGCAAATGAAAAGGTCTCTACAAATGCTGCTCTCCTTCTCCTTATCTTCCAGTTGCAACAGTCTGCATTTCTTCTGAGTGGCAACTATCCAGTGTTCATATTTCTGTGTTCCAAAATCATTCTTGTTGATTTGGGAGATAGTATCTAGTAAAGAAGGAGGAAACAAACATTTTTTCATCTTGACTAACAAATAACCAGAAGAGTTAGTTAGAAGATAACACATTTTCCGTGAATGTTAGGTCTCAAAAGCCTATGCAGAAGAACACTGTATGATATAATCACAGAATCACCAAGGCTGGAAGGCACGTGTGGAGGTCTTCAGTCCAACCCTCTGCTCAAAGCACGGTCACCTAGAACTGTTTGCTCAGGATCATGTCCAAATGGATTTTGAGCAACTCCAAGTTGTGCAGTACTCCACAACTTCTCTGGGCAACCTGCTCCAGTGTTTCACCACTCTTACAGCAAAGAAGTTCTTCCTGTTGTTTAAGTATTTCTGTTTGTGTGCACTGCCTCCTGTCCTGCCTGTCGGAACCATCTGAGAAGAGTCTGGCTCTGTCTTCTTCACTCCCTGTTTCAATGCATACCCAGATGTTGGACTAAAATTAACCCAGTACAATTCAGCTGAGGATCTATGTACGTACACACATCTGCAGAGTCTTTAGCAATAAAATTAGAGCTCACTTGTCCTGTAAGAAGCTTCCAGTATTCAAGACACTGCATGTGCATTGCTCCTTGAATTAGCAGCTACTCAATAGTGAAGTACTCCTTTGCTAAACGGTCCATGGTACTTAAAGGCACGTTATCCAGGACCCGTTACCTGAGGCAGAACTAGTCAATACCTATTTGTCACATACATACTCTGTCACAGTGATTCACAAACATCATTAATCAGAGGGTCCACAGAAGGGAAGCCAATGGTGTTCACGCAAGCGCAATAGTGATGCAGAAATAAGCTTCAGAAGTGTTTGTTTGCTTAATTTAGCGTGCACTTTGAAAATCCCACTATATTTGTTCTTTGTTGGTGTTTCTTGGGTTTTGGGTTGGGTTTTATTTGGTTGGGTGGTTTTTTTTGCTTTGGTCATTTTTTTTAAGTCTCCTTCCCTGCCCCAGAATATAGTTCAGTCTCCAGTATCTGGAAAGGGGGGGGGATCTAGAAAGTATAGGACTGAGGTTAACAGGCTTAAGGCACCCTAATCAGTTTGCAAAAACCAGTCTAAGCTCAGAAAAAAACGCTGTAATTCAGAACTGGATAGACCAAGACTGATCCTGAGAGTAGCCATCTGTTGGTCTCTGCTTTGTACCCCCTCTAGCTCTCAAATTTGTTGATAACAGCCTCTTACTGGACACCACTTAGAAACTCTGCAAAAGCAGAAAACATCAGTTGATTTCTGCAAGGCTTCAGAATTAGGTCTCATGACTGTGAGACCCATTCTCTTCTCACAGCCATGCACGTCCCTCTCTGCAAACCTTCACACCACTGCAGCTCCTGGGGCTGGAATCCTACAGACAGGTGTCTCCTTTCTTAAGCAGCCATATCCTCTCTCTGATGGTGTTCATGTTCCACAAAGCCTCCTCTGTAAAATTACCTTAAAAGCTTTTCAGTAGGAAATAGTGAAGAAAATAAGAATAAACAGTGGAAACAGGGGTATCTAAAGGTAGAAGGAGGGCAAAATGCTGACCAGAAAATGTGGCCAGGGCACCCCTAGAAATAACTCTGAGCGCAACTCAGAGAAGCCAGTGAAAATACGAGAAGAAGTGTCAGAGCAGCAAAAGTGAAAGGAAACTTTTGCTGAAGGGAAGAAATCACAACATTCAGAGTAACACCATAACTGAGACCCTTCCTGTTTTCCATAACAGAGACAGATTTAGGTACAAAGCATTTGAAGAAATGCTTAAATAAGAACATACGGGTATCTCTCATCAATGAAATCCGGCTCATTGCATTTTGAAAGCAAGCTCTTTGGTAGTTTAATTTCAGATTCTTTAAACATTCAGAATGATTTCACAGTGTGAAACACAGACCATCCTTAGCTGCGTGAAACACAGGTTGAAATCCAAGCAAAAATATTTATGATTATCAAACTAATCCCATGTAACAGGAAAATAGTTGACAACTCTACCTGTAATTTCTTATTTAGGAAATACTGGTTAGAGGCAAGTAAAAAGGGAAGAGGAGAAGAGAAGTGGGAAAAGAGTGACTGTTCTAGCAGCCGTGAGGATTCACATTGATGTAATCAAAGACTGAATCTCAGTTACAGGCATATTACAGTATCTTACCCACTGAGTAAATCGTCCTCATCAACACTTCTGTCTCGGACATCAGACCTGAGATAATGCCTGCAAAGCGATTCTGAACTCGCATTTTAACCCATCTGACATCTAGAGACAAGAAATGTGAGTGAGTGGCCCAAATAAGTAAAACATTTCCCTGAGCAGCACAGAACAAAATCTTGTCTAAGAGAATGCTACATCTGGCGGTCTATACAATCATAATGATGTTTACTGTTAATGAGCATTATACTCACACAGAAAGAAACAGCCCTCAATCTTCACTGGCAGAACTGAATAAAAACTAGAGATTGTGGATCTAAGCAAAGAAAAAATTTGCCCAAATGGGCACTGCCATATTGCAGGGCAACAGTGAAATTCATGCTTAAACTCCTTTCAAGCTAGCAGGAGGCAAAGCTCCAGCTTAGATTTAAACTTTTAACTTCACCTGACCAAAGGGGAATTGGATAGCTGCCTCAACTATGGTGCTCTGCATCTCACGGGAAAATAAAAAGGAAGCACGCTTACATGTTTCTGGCTTGTTTCCGAATCTCTGCAGATCCTCTTTGTTCTCTCTGACAGTGGATATGGCCTGTATGTCAAGGTAGGAGCAGAGGGTACAGATGTGCTCTATCGTTTCCTTGATGCTCTTGGCATTACCAACTCCAACAGAAGCAGTTAAACCTACAATCTGAGCACATACATGAATAGCAGTGGTTGTTCCTTTGTCACAAATGAAAAAAAAAATATCAGGAGACATTGTTACTAATCGCCAAGTTGTCACTGTCTTCAAAAACAAGGAAACAAAACAAGCAGCTGAATGTGCAAGGACTAAATCTTGAGAGCCAAACCTTGTCCCTACTCATGCCCTCTCCAAGGCACTCACGCTTAGAGTATTCAAACTGAAAATAAATTACCCACCCACTTAAATCCATAACCAGCTGTATTTGTCAGTGCTCATCATATACAGAAACAGCAAATCCACCTCCAGAATTGTCCTGTGCATTCATTGTCTTCTCATGCTTCTCTTCTTCTCATGCTCTCTTCTTCTGAGAAGACACATCTTCTCAGCTGGACCAAAACCTCCTGCAAGCGGAGGCAATGGCCCCACTTTATCATGGCAGAAGACAGCAACAGAGAGGGGACAAGGAGGTTACAAAGCTCTGTGGCACCTGCTTTCTTCCCAGACCAGTCCTGTTGCGCTCAAGTAATTCAGTCCCCCCTGTCATGCTTGATCAGTCCTTCTTGGCAGCTGGAGAGAAGATGTAACATGGCAAAACAGCCCAGAGGTGTCCAAGAAGTGGGAAAAAGCATGGTGGATGCTACCGTTTCAATTTGCAACCATCATTAAACGGGAGTTTGAACTGGACTAACACAAAAGGCAGGACCTCAGTCAGGCTTTACCAACTGCACTGCAGAATAATTTAATGTTTCCACCACTGACAGGCTGGGCCTTACCTGAGGCAGCTGGTTTGCAGAGGAGTCAAATTTTTGTTCCAGGTATCTGGTCATTAACACATTGTAAGGGTGGTTGCCCGTAGTGTTGTGGCACTCATCAAATATCATCAGAGTGAAGATGGAGAGGGAGCTAAGGATCCCTTCCTCGATGGCATTCACAAGAATCTGGGGTGTCAGCACAATGATGTCACTGTCCTGTATAACCTTTTCTACAGATACATGTGCAACTGTTTCACCACTAATTCCTTGAACAGAATATCTAGGAAGAAGAGGCAAAAGATAGAGTATGAAAAAGGATGTCTTGCAGTGCAAAAAAAATCTAGAAGGATGGACTTTTCAGCAAGCCTGAAGGGTTCTAAGTTCAAAATGTCAAATTATTTCGGCAGGCAGTTTGACCCACAGAAGCTGAGAAAAACAAACTGCTGAGGGTAAACAACTGGATTTTCAACTCTGATTAACTAAAATATATTAGATTTGAGGGGTGGTGATTTTGTACATTTAAGCTGCATGTGTCAATTCACAGGTAAGCTGTATTTGGAGATCCTGCCCTTCATTCCTTTTCTGTGTATGTCTGGCAGCATGGGACTGCTTTCTGTCCAGCACCTTCCTTTTCCCATAATTACAAGGATTCTTATGTGGATATCCAGTAATCAGTTCCTTCAAAATCAGAAGCTATGGGCTGTTGATACTTCCCTAAATAACTTTCAGTTCCATCTGAGAGGTGGACTGTCATTTTCTGATTAGAGGTTGAAAACCCAGACAAGTTTGGGCCCTTCCATTTGGAAAAGAAGGAGAGGCTCTGCCATTTGAGAATGGCGAGAGGAATCCCACTGCTGCTGCCTGGAACTGAAGCAGGGCTGAAAGGAGTCTCAAGAGAGAACACATTTCACCCTTTTCCAGAGGCAAGCACAGGTATACTTTGTCCATTTCAGTAAATGCTGCACAACTAGTGCTTAAGCTCTCCAAAAGCAGACTTCAGACTCTCCAAACAAAGTCTACCATGGTAACTTGCCATTTTTACCACTAGGCATCATCCTTATGTTAATGCCAAACACTCTTCTTACCAGTAAACCCATTACATTTTGCCCTAGCCGCAGCTGATCTAGAGGGCAGTTGATTTTCTGTGGAGGAAGCCACCAGGTAGACTTACACTTACCCACTTCTTTCAAAATGCTGCTTGAACACAGTTTTCTGTTGTTCGTACACTGGCACTTTAGTTGCAAGAAAGACAACTTTTGCTTTTTGTCCTGCAGGCATGTTTTGGAAATGGTGTTCACAAATCAGAAGTGCCACAAAAGTTTTTCCAGATCCTTTAAACAAAGAACATGAAAGGCAAAGCACTAGTATGAAAGGGCATGTTTGTAAGCAGGAGCCTGGGCCATCTGGATGCCCTGTAACCATGGGGAGCTGGCAAGGGGGCTGTAACACTTCCAGACGCTCTGGGGCCAGATTTGAACACATGCTTGCTGCTTACTCAGGTGGGTAATCATCCCTTTCTCTCTTGCTGTCTCAGTCTGTAAAGACCATGTGAGAGTCACTGGGAAGGAAAATCCATTTGCAGTTTTATTTGAGTTCACTGAGTCTACTTCTGCTCTTAGAGTGTGCGCCACATCAAACCAGACCATGGTACAGGCACCAGGCACTTTCAGTTCCATCCTTCCCTACGCAGCCTTGCTCCTCTCGCATTTCTTTTCCTTCAGCACTCGGGCTCGCTGTGCAGACCACCCAGAGCTCTTCTGTGTCCCTGCCTCTGCTACCCCACCTGCCTCTCCAGGGCCCAGGGGACAATCAGGCTAGCAACATGGGAAACACCGGTGGAGAGAAAGAGCTGGTTGACCTCTCTCGCTGCTGAACTTCAATCTTCTTAACTCAGTCCTGACCTATTGCAAAAGTTTCCTGTGCTGTTTGGATGTTGCAGGCATTGCCATACAGAAGACAGGGGAGTCTCAGGACAACTCATCCTATTTTTCCTTCAACTTGCAAGCCAAATTTCTTAAAGATCTCCAGAGATCAGTGAGTGACTTTAACTCAAAAATCCACACTGGGAAGTGAGAAAGCAGAGGTCAGAACATGGGAATCTGAATGGCACTGAAGTGCCAAGAGACTCATCTGTCTTATTCAGTCTCTGTGCTGTGCTCGGTCATTAATTTCAGGTTACATCTGGATCTACTCCTGCAAGGAAGGCTGCTTTTAAATAAACAGCTAGAAAAGTTTGACTCAACCTTTACCTTCCCCTATCCTTCATAGCCTTCTCGACCAAGAGAATTTTTCTAAGAAACATGTGTTTTCCTACCTGTGGGGGCACATATCAATGTGTTTTTCCCATTGATAGCAGGCTGTGCCAGTTCAGTCTGGTAGCTCCGAGCCTTCTTTGGTTCATAAACAGGTGAAGACTGATGGATCCCTTCTAGGAGAGAACCATGTTTTTATGAAGCGTGTTGCAACAGAAATGCGTAAAATATATTGCGCCCAAACAGTTGCTATCTAAAACGACAGACGTAGAGTCCTCACAGTCTACACAAAGCATTCTCTGAGAAACAAGTCTTTTAACAGGGCATATACACCAGATGAGTTTTGTGCAGGTTTGAGGGCATACTTTTGTTATCACTCAACTGTGCTTCCTAAACTGAACTCATTTCAAGGTCTTGGCTGACAGCTCTCACCTTCAACTGGTCTTTTTTCAACTCAGAAAGGAAACACAAGGGCTTATTTCCCCCCAGATATATGCACAGTATTCATTTTGCCTTCTGCTCTACAGACTTTTGAAGATAATATAGTCTTAGATTGTGGTATTGCCAGAGGGTTTGCACTTACGGAACAGGAATTAGAAACCACTAGTGGACCAAAATTTGCCGTATGAGACATGACAGCCACTGCACAGATCCTTTGCAGCCATGTTCAGTTCTATAAACTGGCTAATATCAGGTCACATGTAAATTAGTTATATCACAGAAGAGGTGCATCAACGACAGTCTGGTTTTGGAGAACTTTTTCATAATGTGCTGACAGAACAACTTTGCATTAGAAACATGGTAAGTGAGGGGCAATCCCTAACACGTGCAATGCCCAGTACAAGATTCTTTAAAACAGAAAACAGCTAAATCAAGTCAGAGATTTGTACTGGTTCCTCAGTACCTTCCTTTGCGGCACACTGCATCTGCATCCTTCAGGAGTCTAAGGAAATGGAGAATTCCTGCCACAAACTGTTTTAAGTTGCTAGGCCTTACCTAAAGCTGAACAGAGATTTTCACTGAGATTATCACATTCTGCCTCTTCAGAAAACGTCATCGTTTCAAAGCTGTTCTCAGAGGCATCTGTGAGTTCACCATCAACATCTTTGCCATTGTCTGTACAATCACCAAAAAAAGGCATGTTATTGATGCTTTTGATTTCAAAATGTTGTATTTGCTGGGATGACAAGGTGAAGAAGTTGGTTGGTAGCATGGAAAGACTACATGAAATGATGCTGCACACAGGCTCCCTTTCAAGTAAGGTGGATGGCACTGTCTTGGGTTTAAAAGACCCACACACTTAATGCACGTTTATCTATCCCTTAAAAATCAAGGGAGATAATAGAATGGGAGGAAAGTTATATCCTCTGTGTTTAGTGACAAGATTACAGATTTAACATGGACATTAACCACAAGAATGAAAAATACTTAGGAGTTCAAAGAAGCTTTGTAAATTCAAGACTTTGTTCTCTCTTTCCCCCCACCTTTTGGAAGGACCTAGAAATTGCAAGACTATCTCCAACCTTTATCTTACATGATAATCAATAGAGATTCCAAAGATACTTGCTAAAATTTTATTTGGCCCCATGATTATTAACTTCTCAAAGAACTGTCACTGGGCTTTGCATGAAGAGTCTCATTGCAAACAGACAACATGATCGCAAAGCGCTGATTTTGGAAAGGGAGAAAGAGCACATTTGCACCCTAATTCAGCTCCAGAAAGCATTAATTAACATCCAGTTAATTTCTACTAGCAATGCTTCTTAACTGCTAGTATTAAAATGCTTCTAATATGGACAAGGTTTCTTCAGTAGACTGACTGTGGCTTTTTTAAGTTGGATGTTATCAGCAGCTGCCCCAAAAGACAGTGGTATCTTTAACTTATAAAATATAACTGTTAACCAAATAATATGTACAGCCACCAGCTACATAAAGTAATATCTACATACATACAAGTGTTATTCTTATATATTCTACATATGTAATTATTTATACATTTATTAACTATGTATATAATTTTTTTATATATCATAATTAATTCTCCAGGTAAGAAATTAGACACATTTGAAAATAGCAATAAAAACATTTCAAAATAAGAAATATTGTTTAAGCCACTTAAAAATAGTTTGTCCCCATTGCTAATTAAAAACAATTCAAACAGTCACTTATGGTTTGGGAGAAAACAACGTAGATATAAAGAAATACAATCCATTTTATCTAAAATCACTTGTCTTTCATATTATTTTGTAGTGAAATACTGTATTCCACTCTAAATTCTCCCATGCTGCAGGGTAGTAACATAGGTATTTTTCAAGTGGTAAAAGGTAAATTCCATGACAAAAGCAAAATCTTATTAGGGGAAATTCTGCATTTTTTTAAAAAAATGAAGAAAATCACTTAGTAAATGCAGCTTATTGATTTCTCAAATAAAAAAGTGTATTATCTGCTCTGTGGATCACAGAAGTGTATCACTTTCTAGAATATCAAATTATTAATCATACTTTATCAGAAAACATGGCATCTATCACAACTCAAGCAACCAAAAAGATGGCAAAAGGTGAATTACACTTTGTTGGTTTTGTACCTTCAGAGCCTTGTATGCTGTTTGATTCCATTTACCAAAAGAAGACATCATTCATAACTGTATCACAGAATCACAGAATGGTCAGGGTTGGAAGGGACCTATGGAGATGACCTAGTCCAACCCCCCTGCCAGAGCAGGGTCACCTACAGCAGGTTGCACAGGACAGTGTGCAGGAGGTTTTTGAACATCTCCAGAGAAGGGGACTCCACAGCCTCTCTGGGCAGCCTGTGCCAGTGCTCTGCCACCCTCAAAGTAAAGAAGTTTTTCCTCATGTTGAAAAGGAATTTCCTCTGTTCCAGCTTGTGCTAGTTGCCCCTTGTCCTGTTGCTAAGCACCACTGAAGAGTTTCTCCCCATCCTCTTGACACCCACCCTTTAGATATTTATGAGCATTGATGATATCCCCTCTCAGCCTTCTCTTCTCCAGGCTAAGCAGACCCAGGTCTCTCAGCCTTTCCTTGTAAGAGAGGTGCTCTGTTGCCCTGATCATCTTCAAAGCCCTCCGCTGGACTCTGTCCAGTAGTTCCCTGTCTTTTTTCGAACTGGGGAGCCCAGAATTGGACAGATTACTCCGCATGCGGCCTCACCAGGGCAGGGTAGAGAGGGAGAATGACCTCTCTCATCCTGCTGGCCACGGTCTTTTTAATGCACCCCAGGATACCATTGGCCTTCTTGGCCACAAGGGCACATTGCTGGCTCATGGTCAACTTGTTGTCCACCAGGACTCCCAGATCCTTCTCCGCAGAGCTGCTGTCCAGCAGGTCAACCCCTATCCTGTACTGGTGCATGGGGTTATTCCTCCCCAGGTGCAGTACCCTACACTTGCCCTCGTTGAACTTCATTAGGTTCCCCTCCACCCAACTCTCCAGCCTGTCCATGTCTTGCTGAATGGCAGCACAGCCTTCCAGCATGTCAGCCACTCCTCCCAGTTTTGTGTCATCAGCCAACTTGCTGAAGGTACACTCTGTCCCCTCATCCAAGTCATTGATGCATATGTTGAACAGGACTGGACCAGTACTGACCCCTGAGGGACACCACTTGTTACAGACCTCCAACTGAACTCTGCACCGCTGATCACAGCCCTCTGAGCTCTGCCATTCAGCCAGTTCTCAGTCCACCTCACTGTCTACTCATCTAATCCACACTTCCTAAGCTTGCCTATGAGGATGTTATTGGAGACAGTGTCAAAAGCCTTGCTGAAGTTGAGGTAGACAATGTCCGCTGCTCTCCCCTCATCTACCCAGCCACTCATTCCGTCATAGAAGGCTATCGGATTGGTCAAGCATGATTTCCCTTTGGTGAATCCATGTTGACCACTCCTGATAACCTTCTTTTCCTCCACATACTTAGAGATGACATCCAGAATGAGCTGTTCCAACAACCTTGTAAGGATGGAGGTGAGGCTGACCAGCCTGTAGTTTCCTGGGTTCTCCTTGCCTTTTCTGAAGACTGGAGTGACATTGGCCTTCCTCCAGTCCTCAGGCACCTGGCCTGTTCTCTAGGACCTTTCAAAGATGACGGAGAGAGGCAATAACATCTGCCAGCTCCCTCAGCGCTTATGGGTGCATCCCATTGGGGACCATGGATTTGTGGGTGTTGAGGTTGCCTAAGTGATCTCTAACCTGATCCTCCTCAACCAAGGGAAAGTCTTCCTTTCTCCAGACTCTTTCTCTTACCTCCAGGGTCTGGGATTCCTGAGGGCTGGCCTTAGCAGTAAAGACTGAAGCAAAGGCAGCATTCAGTAACTCTGCCTGGGAGTTACATGGGAGGAAAAATACCCAAAAAATAGTTTCTGATTGTTTGTAGGGTTGTACCTATATTTCATTTTATATAAAGGATATTTTAATTTTTTTTAAAAAAGGGTTTTATTTTTAAACAACAATGAGCAATACAGTCTGATGGCATCCTTTTAAATTAGCCCTATTCTCCTGGGAAAAAAAAATTACTGTCTGGTGCAAGAATTGAAAAAGAGCATCATAAAAACAAATCACAGTTTACCTTCTCTCATACCCCATAGATCACTTGCATTGTAGTATCCTGTGTTATCTAGTGCCAGTTGAAGGCTTTTCGGCCAGTTTTCCTTATCCGATCGACAGAGACATTCAATGAGTTTAGTTATCCCGGCTGTTTTGCTTCTGTATTCGCTAATCTGCACACACAACAAACAGAAGTTGCTGTAGCTTCCAAGTGATCAAAAACAGTGTTCTTTGATTGATATTTTGATTTGTTTTGTTTGATGTTCAGTTGAAAATTGCATTTCCTTATCACAGAATAAAAGGTTTCCAATAAAATTCAGTCATTTACCTACTACTGCTGCAATTCTGCCAGCCTAGGCATACATTAAACTTAGCTGGACTACATCAACAGGTAGGCTATTTGCTTGAATATTCACAAGGTCTGAAACACTGCAGAGCTATTCTGTGAATTTTCATCTGGCAAGGTCCTTGTAATAGGCCATATTGGCCATAAACTGCTGAGGCCAAATTGATTAAAAAACATTCCAGAATAGGAAAATGCAAAAGTACAAAATTTATGGCAGGCCTCATGTTTGGTCAGATACAATAGCTTTCCAAATGTTATGTATCTCTGTAAAGAAGTACATACAACCCTTTCGCACGCTGCCTTATCCATTGGGCTGGATGGATGAAGAATGAGATGTGCTGGTGTTGCAGACAGCGCTGCTGTGGGAAGCTGCAGCCACACAGCAAAGCCTCCTCTAAGCAGAAGAAAGTGACATCCCTCCCCAGGGGACCATGGCTGTCCATCCTCCTCCCTCAGCAGCCTGACGGATGGGCACCAGTTCATCCCGCAACTGAGGCAGCCAGCACTTCTCCACAGCAAAACTGGGCAAATACTGGGATGTTACCATTAACCATACCTGCAGGATCTCGTCACACTCCCTTTCTATCAGGCATGTGTTTATGTAGGGCATGAGCTCTACTGGATCAATTTCTAGCATTGTTGCTTCTATCCGCTTCAACAGCTGTCTGTGCAACTCCAGTTTTTCCAGTTTGCTGAAGTCCCAGTTTTCAATTGCTTCTGCCAGTCCACTGTAACCTTTCAGAAAAAGAGAGCGATTGTTACTGTGAATTCACTCTCCAGCTAGAATAGGTAGGAACAAGCTGAAAAAAACACTTTCTCAGTCGCACTGGAGAACTTAAAATCATTTTGGCCTGTAACTGACAAAAATCTAGGTGAATCGCAAATAGCTTTTATAGATTAAGTGATTGTTTTCCTTTACAGCACTTGTATGTATAACATGAAAAAAGCCTATGCTAAAAGAGCAGTAACACTTGCTAAGAGAAAAACGAGCTACTCAGTGTCACAGCTTACATCACCCAAGCAACTGTAACAACCCCCTTCCTTTGATCCATACAATCCTTGGATCCCTACAGGCCATGATACTCTTCCACAGGAATTCCCAGAGCACAGGACACTGCGCAGGATCACAAACACCTTTGGTCCCCCTTTCTTTTATTTACCAGCCCTTTACCTTTTAGTCCTGTCCCTGGCTCCACCCTCCTTCAAAAATCCTTTTCATATTGGATTTAAGTCAGTCCCTGACTGCACACAACCCAGACACCTGCAGCCTGGAGAGTCAAGCAAACAGCTGAAAATACCGGCCTCGAACATAGTGGCAGGGAATCATATTTAGAGGACTTGTGTGATTTGCTGTGTAGGCTCCAGAGGTGGAAGAAAGCCAGACAGGGTCCCAGAGGAACTGTGGGCAAAAAGAAGGAATTTGCCTAATTTTTTATTTTCTTTTGGAGGAGCAGGAGAGAAGTATTTATACTTACCACCACAATGTCTTTAATCTAATTATCACCTATCTCTGCATCTGGCAAATACAAGAGTAATGCTATATTCTAGTCTCAGGCCCAGTTAGTAAATACTTGGGATAGCACCCGGAGTCAGCAGGCTAACCTCTTCAGTTTTCTGCTGAAGATGCACCAAACTGAACACTATCAACATGTTTAAAGAAGGTATTTTTGCAATTCCGAAATTAGGACTATCACAGGCTCGTAAAAAGTTGCTCTGGACCTAGTATTTGTTTTAAGGGGAGAGTGGGCTAAATCAAAATTATAAGAAATTTTGTAATAATTGCTCACTGATATACACTAACTATCCATAGTTAATCGTAAGTAAATACATTTAAAAAAAAAAAAAGTTGCTTATGGCATAAGATTCTGGGGTTCAAGATAGTTAACAAATCACCAACAAGATTCTATGATAGAACCTACAAGTATAGGGAAAGCTGCCAAATCCTGGAAATTTTACACCTTCACAATCTCCTCTATCACATTTTAGAAAGGAAATGGCATTAGGACCTCACACATCAAGCAGTCATAGCTACTGAGGAACAATCATCTCATTTATAAAGTATTAATGGTTACTTCTCGAAACGTAACACTTTTAAGACCTTGGAATAATTCTTAAAAATCAGTTTCTAATTTAAGACTATGTCCTTGAATGAAGTTATCCCATGCTACCAGTTAACCCGCACACACATCCTGAAACCAATTTTGCTTTCCCTTTCAGAGGATTTAGCTTTCTTTAATTATATTTGGTGAGAAAAATGTGTCTTCTCTAAACGGCCCAAGAAAGACAAGTCTCCTGTCAATGAGGCTTTATTCTGCATTCCCTCATCCTTCACTGAGTTTCTCCATGAGCTAAACTGTTTCAGCTGCTTCTAAGACAGGCCTTTCCCCGTGACTTCGAGTTTAATTTCCGTCGTCTATCAACCTACTTTTCCCCACCGCACCTTATCTGATGTGACAAGACCCAACAGCAGAAGCCGAAGGATAACAGGGTGATGCTTCACATCCCGGGTGCGCTGGGTTGGTTTGCCCAGCTGAATGCGGGCGGCGGCTGTGGCTCTGGCAAGGACAGGGAGAAGCGCAGGAGACCATGCGTGCGAGTGGGAACCGACCTGCTGCCCCCAGGGCGTCCAGGAAGCCCCGGAACCATCCCTCCACCTCCAGCTGCAGGATGGTATCCAGAAACAGCGCGGCGGGCGCCGGAACCCCCTTCTCCTCTTCCTT